ACTAGTTCATTTTTTTTTTATTGCTTAGTAGTATGCTATTGTGTAAATATACCACCATTTGTTTATTCATTTTCCTGTTGCTGGACACCTGGATTGTACTCTGTTTGAGGCTAATATGAATCAAATATCTATGAACATTATTGTACAAGTCTTTTGTCAAAGTGTTTCATTTCTCAATATTTTTATAATTAAACTATTTTCCAGATACCATTTTTACTTACTATCTCATCAGCATTCCGGGTACATGTTAACAGTTTGATTGCTGGGCCACATGTTCAGTTAGTGATCTTTTTATACATACTTGTTATTAGGGAAGAAGATGTCACAAAGACCATGTACCCTCCACCAGTTACCAGCAGTGTCCAACTGTCCAGGAATCCTGATGGGAAAAAACTGGACCTTATCTGCGATGCTATGAGAGCAGCCATGGAGAACATAAATCCTCACAAGTATGTTTGCTGTCATTAGTTAGCATCTTTTGAATAACAGAAGCATGTTGTCGTTCTTGTCCAGCTTATTCATCCTCCTCATTCTGCCATTCCTCACTTATTCCCTCAGGTACTGCCTGTCAATACTCACATCTCATGTGAAGAAAACAACCCCAGAACTGGAAATTGTGCTGCAGAAGGTACACGAACTTCAAGGTAGAGACCTGCTTACAGAGAGAGTGTTTAATGTGGCCTTGACTGACACTAGTCTTTTGCAGATGACCATTACCATATAATTGCCTCATCACAGATTTAACCTGTGGCCCTTTGGTTGCTGTTTTAAGACCTATGTCAGTTTTTTTGACTGCTGCCTTAGAAAGCATGTATCAAAGAGTCCAAAGCAGTATATATTCATTTGGTGTCCAGTTCTGTCAGAAAAATTTGTTACTTTGCCTTTTTAATTATGTTGCTAGATCTGTGAGTTTTTTTTCCCAAAATGGTTTTGTTTTCTTAAACACTGACAGAAAATGCTCCATCTGTTCCTGATGCTGTGAGTGCTGAAGAGGCCCTGAAATATTTGCTGCTTCTGGTAGATGTTAATGAATTATATGATCATTCTCTTGGGACCTATGACTTTGATTTGGTCCTCATGGTAGCTGAGAAGTCACAGAAGGTATGTGGAGTTACTACTTTTACATCATTTTGGTTCTTGTTTCTTTAATCACTGTGGTTTGAAATCCTGTGAGTTTCCAGGGCCCATGCTCCAAGCCTCATTCTCTATCATAGTTTTGGGCTTATCAAAGTGTTTCGATTGCTCGGTTGAGGAAGTGGAATAAAATTGCATGGTTATTTTTAAGATTATAAGCACATGTGTGAACTAAATCTTCTCTTATAAAGTAAATGTAATAAGTGATTCATGTTACACTTATTTGTTATCATGTAGCTCTTTTTTCTAGTGGAAAGTGGGACCATGGAGCATAGTTTAGCATGATTGGTCTACATATTTTTTATCTGTTTTTTTTGCAGCTTCAGTCTCTTCCCCTATCAGTCCTTTCTTTGCTGTTGCCAGAATAATATTTTCAAAAATGAAAACCTGATACTTCATTCCTCTGCTTAAAGTCCTTCATGAGCTCTCCATTGCCCCTATAAGCCATAATATTGCTTAAAAACCCTTTCATGATCTAGCCTTTCCATTCTCATCTCTTTGTGCTATCTTTTTTCTCTGCTCATGGAGGAAAGGAGGAGAGTGCTTTTGTTCCACTTCTCCACTTCTCAACACCACTAGCCATCACATGCCTTTGTAGGTGGCATTACTTCCGCCTCCCATGGGCTTCGACCCTCACCATTCACGTGGCTAATTCTCACTCGTCTAGGTTGAAGGATGCTTAGGTCATCTTCCCAGTAAGCCATTCTTGCTTCCTTTCAGGGATTAGGTGACATGGCCCTCACTGCTTCTATTTTGCCCAGTGCCTACCCCTGTGTACCACAGACCATCTCTTTCCTGAGGCTAAGAGTTATGTTGCATTGCCTGTACTTATCAAATTCTCACTAAATGTTTGTTGGTTGAATATGTTGGCTCACGGTTATCCTCCCCATACATGGAGGAGCATTTAAATATTTACTGTCTTGATTTTTTTCCTATATTGTTCTTACTTATATTCATCCTGTTTGTCCAGTGAAATTGCATGAAGAACAGGAAGCATCTCTTCTTTAGGAAGATATGCTGTTTGCTTACAGAGCATTGCACAGAGCTGGAGGTGAAAGTGCCAATAAATACTAGGTTGGCAGGGCCTCAGAGTTTTGTGTCCAACTCAGTATAATTTTACCTTTAACATGTGGTCTTTGCAAATGGAGAGCATGAAATGTCATGAAAATAGCACCAAGAGCAATGCCTTGTACTTTTAGGAGAAAAATGGGTGCACTTTCTACACTGGAACCTTGTTTTTCTTATTAGGCTATGAAATAAGTGGCTACTGTGAGACTTAGTTAAGGTTTAGTCATTATTATTCCAAATGTAAACTACTAACATGCATATGTGAAAGCATTTTTACCAAAACTTGTTTGATGTATTTGATTTTATACGATATAGTTATTAGTATAATAATACACATTTAAAAATTATGTAGCTTTCGGGCCGGCCCGGTGGCGCACTCGGTAGAGTGCGGTGCTTGCGGTGCTCCCGCCGAGGGTTCGGATCCCATATAGAGACCAGTCCGCTCACTGGTTGAGCACGTTGTGGGTGTGACACAAAGGGTTGCGATCCCGTTGCCGGTCGCGGTACGGGCGCAACACCGAGGGTTGCGATCCTGTTACCGGTCATGAAAAAAGACAAAAAAGGAAAAAAAAAAAGTGTAGGTGGACCCGATGGTGCAATACGGTAAGAAAGAAACTAGTAGAATTTTACAAGGTTAATCAAGAGATAAGGGCCACAGTCTGACAATGACCCAGAAGTAGGACAATGCCCTGGAGTAAAATTAAAAGTCCAGATATTTCAGCAATATTGATTATGGATTTGTTACCAAGGCAGGTCCAGAATCTTAGGAAAGCCAACTACCCTGATGTCATCTTCTTGTCCTGGTCAGAGGAGTGATGATGGGTTAATTTAATTGAAGGTCTACAGTGATGGAGAAGGTACACTCAGCAGGCTTTGACTTTTAAAAATAAGAAAGATGTATTCATTTGTCTTGAGATGTGATTTCTGAAGGGCCAGCAGAGTTTTAGCATTTTTTTAATAATCACAGAAAAGTGAAGAACAAAGGGAAAGAAAGGAGACAGCTTCTTAATCAGCATATCAGTTTTTCTATTGGTTGCATAGCATTACGTAGGTTAGTGATTGGTCCTTGTTACATTTTATGTACAGATTTACGAGTGAAAGTCACAAGGTACATTCTCAGCACTTAAAAATTAATTCACAACTTCTTTAAGCATCTGCAAGTCTGGTTTTAGGTTAAAAATAGTCATGTGGTAACAGTTCCAAGATGTGGGGACATGATTGCCATCCCATGTTGGATCATGTTCCCCAAGGCTTTAGAATTTTAGCTGATCTTGGTCAGAGCAGATTTCCTGGTTCATCATTTCCCCCTTTGACAGAAATCTTTGGCTAGAAGGCATTGATGATCACCTTTATGACAAAAAAGCTTAATCCCACAGTACTGGGAAGGCTCGTTTTCAGGTAGTCATGTCCCACATTGGAAGAAAGAAGATTGGGCTCTGGAAATGAGGTCTGAGTCTGAGTTTTAGGCAACATGGGGGCTGGGATGTGACAGCAGTCAGATTCTTTTTAATCCTGTAAAGTAAGATGTTGAATCATTTCTAAGTAACAGGGTGTTAAAATTTTAGTCTTTGTTGTAGACTTAAACCAATGAGTAATACAAAGCATAATTAGTTTAAATGAAATTATTGTTAAGATGTATATAATTATGAGAAAGAGAATAATCAACAAATGTAGCTACCAGAGACCCCAGGAGCCTAACCATTTGGTGAATAATTCCCCAAGGGACAGAAAGGGATTCTCCATGGCGTCAATCTGTCCTACTATATCTGAAAAAGGTGGGTCAGATTGGCAGATTCATCTGGTATATACATACAACATTCAGTTTTTTTTTTTTTCCTTTTTGTCTTTTTTCATGTCCGGCAACGGATCACAACCCTGTGTTGCGCCCATACCGGACCGGGACCGGCAACGGGATTGCAACCCTCGGTGTTGCGCCCGCACCCCGCTCAGCCAGTGAGCGGGAACCGGTCTGTATGTGGGATCCAAACCCTCGGCGGGAGCGCCACCACGCTCCCAAGTGGCTCACTATAGCAGTGCGCCACCGGGCCGGCCCCAACATTCAGTTTTGAGGATGGTATAGGGGTCACCCTGTGAGGCAGTCAAAATATCTAAAGCCATATCATTTTGTAATATGGCTTTACAGATTAGTGTCACTTTATTACTTAGCAAGGTTAAGCCCTGTTGGCTGTCACTTAAAGCTGTCTGGTGAAGTTGATAAAAGCTTCAATGTGTACAATCATATCTTCAATAATCAGAGAGGGAGCAAAAAAGGCTGCAAAGTAATCATACCAGTGGGAGACAGCGCTAGTCCATCTAGCTTTCAACAAGGGCAAGTTAGCAGGGGTTTTTAGGATAGTAAGGACATGTCCTTGGGCAAAGATAAAAACCAAAGTACAATTCTGCTGTGGATTGAATGCCTCCCCCAAATTCATTGAAGCTTGTAACAGTTATAAGGCAGGTGGGAAATCCAATTATGGCATTTGAAAGGTGGGGCCTTTAAGAGGTGACTGGATCATAAGGACTGTGCCCTTGTAAATGGATTAATCCATTCATGGAGTGATGGGTTAATGGTTCAATGGGTTATCAGGGAGTGAGTGGTTCTGACGGCTTTACAAAAGGAGCAAGTGAACCTGTTAACTCTCCTGTTCATGCCATTCTTGCCATGCGATTGCCTATACCACCAAGGGACTCTGTGGAGAATTCTAACCAAGAAGAAGGCACCTCACCAGAGGTGCCCCCCAGACCATGGACTTTCTAGCCTCCACAACTATAAGAAATAAACTTTGTCTTCTTATAAATTACCCAATTTCAGGTATTTTCTTATAAGCAACAAAAAATGGATTAACATAACGTGTCAACCAGCTAGGTGGCTGCCAGGGGCCATAATTTTGTTCCACATAACTAGTGAGTGCCATTGGGGGCAACCCAGTAAATAGCAAACCAAATAGAGGCCAGAAGTCATAAGTTGCAATTACATTGGTTAAAGGGTAATCACCCCTGTCATGAGTATTGTTTGGCTGATTGTGTTTAGAATGATTTGTTTGTTCCTAACATCATGGGACCTTACTAATATGATGTCCATATGATGGAGTCAACCAGATAAAACCATACCAAACCTATATAAACCCACGAGACAGTCTCATGGTTTGGTTGTGTGGGAATATTTGTCTCAAAAAAGAGACGGCAGAAGCTATTGTAACATTTCAAGAGAAGGGGAAACCATGTCTCAGACTCTGTAAGGTGTCATTTATACCCCATTAGTAAATATTGCTTCTTGTAACATCAGAAATACTTAATGTGCTTTGACTTTTTTTTCTTTGAGTAGCAGTTTCCTAAGTATAGCTAGTCAGTACCCTGCAGGGGTGACACCTTCCATGGCAAACCTGAAGAACTAGAAAGGGGCATTTGTCTGCATATCCAGCAGGAGAATGAGTTGCGTTCTTGAGCAAAGGCATGTGCTCATTATAAAGAAAAAATTACCTTCAAAAGTGTAGGTGGTGGGGCCGGCCCGGTGGCGCACTCGGTAGAGTGCGGTGCTTCATTATAAAGAAAAAATTACCTTCAAAAGTGTAGGTGGTGGGGCCGGCCCGGTGGCGCACTTGGTAGAGTGCGGTGCTTGCGGTGCTCCCGCCGAGGGTTCGGATCCCATATAGAGACCAGTCCACTCACTGGTTGAGCACGTTGTGGGTGTGACACAAAGGGTTGCGATCCCGTTGCCGGTCGCGGTACGGGCGCAACACCGAGGGTTGCGATCCTGTTACCGGTCATGAAAAAAGACAAAAAAGGAAAAAAAAAAAGTGTAGGTGGACCCGATGGTGCAATACGGTAAGAAAGAAACTAGTAGAATTTTACAAGGTTAATCAAGAGATAAGGGCCACAGTCTGACAATGACCCAGAAGTAGGACAATGCCCTGGAGTAAAATGAAAAGTGCAGATATTTCAGCAATATTGATTATGGATTTGTTACCAAGGCAGGTCCAGAATCTTAGGAAAGCCAACTACCCTGATGTCATCTTCTTGTCCTGGTCAGAGGAGTGATGATGGGTTAATTTAATTGAAGGTCTACAGTGATGGAGAAAGTACACTCAGCAGGCTTTGACTTTTAAAAATAAGAAAGATGTATTCCTGAGTTAATGCCCTTAAGTTTAGCTGCACAGGGACTGGCTAACAATACCTGATATGGTCCCTTTCAATGTGGCTGGAGGGAATCTTTTGTTTGTTGACATTTCCAATAAACAAAGTCTCCAGATTGAAAATCATGATGTTTTCAATTTTCATCTCCTGGGAATGCACTGTGAAAGAATTCTTTCACTAATTTAGTATTTCTTTTAAGAAATTTTATCATGCTTTGACAATAATACAAAATGTCCCCCTTAAGCATAGCAGGGTCCCATCTTGTTTCTTCTAAATGCATAAGTCTTTCTGTAATTATTTCAAAAGGAGACAATTGATGTTTTCCAAACATGGAGGAATGTAGATCAGGCATGCACAATAAAAAATGTTGATAAATAGGTCAAATATCACAAATGGATTGTACAATCTGTCGAGTAAAACGAGTCACACGATCACTGTGGAACTCACATGGGATTCTCCAGGAAAGAATAATTTTCTCCAAAAGCAGTTTTCGTATTGTTAAGTTTATGGCTGTTCTGCACGGAAAAGTTTCCACCCAGTGAGAAGACATGAATATCAAGACAAGTGCATATTTGTATATTTGAGAGGGAGGTAGCTGGATAAAATCCATTTGACACATCTCAAAAAGTCCTAGAGACAAAGGAAAATGTCCAGGTGTATCATGTATTGGTTTCCCTGGGTTGTGTTTAAGACAAGGGGTGCAATGAGAATAAACCTTCTGGGCTACCACAGGGGAAGATTTCCAGTAACCTTGTTTACTCTAAGAAGTAATTTTCTCTGGATCCCAATGTGTTAACTCATGAATGTATTGTAAAAGGGGAAACTTATGTCCTGTTGGCAGAATAGGCTTATCAATAGGTGCCTTGGGTTGAACCCCTCCACCCCAAAACTTAATCCCCACTGTAATTGTTGAGGGTGGGAAATTCTATTACGGTAATTGAAAGGTGGGCCTTGAAGAGGTGATTAGACTGTAGGACCATGTCATAGTGAATGGATTAATAATGGTGGTCAGAGGCGTGGTTCTGAGGGCCTTAAAAGGAAAGTGCACCAGGAGTTCTCTCGCTCTCTCTGCTCCGCCATCTTCTGTAATGTGATATCCCGTGTCACTGAAGTCACCACCAAAGAAAGCTCTCACCAGATGTGTTCACCAGACTTTGGACTTCCCAGTCAGGGAACAAAACAGTACATTTTGTTTTCTTAATACATCACCCAGTTTCAGGTATTTATGTGGTAAGCAACAAACATGGACTAATACAATGGTTTATACTATAATTAGGTTTCAGGAGAAAATGTTACTCCTTTTGTTTTCCATAGACCTGTTCACTTTGAGGTGCTCTCATTTGATCTTCCTTTAATAAGGAAGGGGAGAGTTTATAAACCTATAGTGATAATCCCTTTTTTACAATTGAAGTTTTGTTTGTTTGTTTGTTTGTTTAAATATCTCTTTTAGCCACAGCATCTGCAAAATGTTTGCCCTTGCTTTCTGGAGTGTCTAATTTAGAATGTCCAGGAAATATTATAATAGCCAGTGACACAGGCTTCTGAATGGCTTCTACAAAGTCTGAAACTTATTGTCCATTTTTAATGGGTTGTCCAAAAGTTGTAAGAAGTATTCTCTGTTTCCATAGCATGCCAAAAGCATGGGCTACCGAAAGGCATTATCTGCTATCAGTATAGATATTCGCACTTTTGTTTTCAGCCAATTGACGTGCTCTGGTTAGGGCAATTAATTCTGTTTGCTGGGCAGAAGTTATCCCTGGCAATGAATTATTCCCAATTATTTTAGTTAAAGTTACTATCATGTAACGAGCAAAATATTTTCCAGACTCATCTTTTAAATATAAACTGTCAGTAAGCCAAGTTAAATCAGCATTTTCCATTGATGTTTCTTGTAGATGTCATATAGGAGAAAGAAGCTGGTCAGTCAGCTTAGTGTGGTCATGAGGTATCTTGTTTGAAAGGAGAGACAGAAGGATAGCAGAGTTGAGGTTGTTGAAATAAGTGATGGTAACATTTCGAGAAGATGACAGAATAGGCAAGCTGACTTACAGAATAATGTTAAGGATGATGAGAGTTCAGAAGGGCCTCTACAGAGTGTGGCACGTGAACAGTAGGTGGAGAGTGATATCACAAGGTGGAGGAATAGATGACCCCTGCATTGCTACCCCCCGCAAGTGACAAACTATTAAATGCAAAAACTGCTGTGTTGTGATCATTGATACTTGGGGGAAGAGGTGGAGAGAACTGCTTAGTCTGTGAAGGCATGGAAAGCCACAGCAAGCAGGAGGAGACTGCTTAGTCTGTGAAGGCATGGAAAGCCACAGCAAGCAGGAGGAGACTGCTTAGTCTGTGAAGGCATGGAAAGCCACAGCAAGCAGGAGGAGACTGCTTAGTTTGTGAAGGCCTGGAAAGCCACAGCAAGCAGGAGGAGGGACCACCCTGATCAGATCCAGCTCCGGTCATTCCCTGGTTCAGCGTGGCACAGCACATGGAGCAGCTACCAGGAGCTGGCAAAGTCACAGTAGTGCCCTTTGCACAAAGCTACTTGAAGTCTGCAGGGGAGAAAGGTGCTATGACAACTGGCCAAAAAAAAAAAAAAAAATTGAGGGCCTGCAAAGCTGGTCACAAGCTTTCCTGATGCTGCATAAGATGAAGGGGCTGCAGTCAATGGAAAAAAGGATTCACCCAGAGGTCAGTGAGTCTTTGCAGGAGACTCATGCGGTGCCAACTCTGTGGAAACCATTTACAATGCTGGGGGCCTGTTCTACCAGGGGTGCATTGGAGAGCAGAGTAGGCAGCTCACTTGCCTTCCCATTGGCATGGGTGCCACACAATGGACACTGGTCAGTGTGATAGAATTGCAGGGGGCACAGTTTGTGGGAAAGACTCAATCTTGGGCTGGAATTTCCACACAGCCTAGTTGCATTTGTGGTGACCATACATGACATGGAAGTGACTAAAAGGCTGATAATTAAAATCTGGTCCACACAAAAAGTTTTCCCCAGTCTGAGAAACAGCAGTGAGGCAGCAATTTAGCTCAGGCACAGTGTTCAAGTTCTGGTCCCTGCAGAAAGTTTCTTCCAATTCGCGAATTAACCACAGGACAGCAAATTAGTTCCAGAGTGGTGCTTAAGTGGTGGTGGTTGCTAATAATTCATCACACACACACACACAAAGGCCCACAGACCAGAGATAAAGATCTGATACCAAGTTGTAAAGGTTGAAACAGCAGTGAGGCAGCAATTTAGCTCAGGCACAGTGTTCAAGTTCTGGTCCCTGCAGAATGTTTCTTCCAATTCGCGAATTAACCACAGGACAGCAAATTAGTTCCAGAGTGGTGCTTAAGGGGTGGTGGTTGCTAATAATTCATCACACACACACACAGAAAGGCCCACAGACCAGAGATAAAGATCTGATACCAAGTTGTAAAGGTTTGATACCACCAAAGGGCACCAATAAAACCTGAAAGAGGTAGCCATCTCCATCTCCTCAAATGCACGGGCATCCAATGTAAAGACACAAAGGTTGAGAAAGAAGAGAGAAATATCACACCACCAAAGGGCATTCAAAGTGAAAAGGAGGAAGTCGAACTTTTCCTAGATGTCTTTTGCAGATGACATGATCATATACACAGAAAACCCTAAAGACTACACCAAAATATAACTAAAACAAGATAAATGAATTCAGTAAAGTGGCAGGATACAAAATCAAAACACAAAAATCAATAGCATTTCTGTATACCAATAATGAAATATCTAAAGATGAAATCAAGAAAGTAATCCCATTCACAATTGCTACAAACAAAAAAGTAGGAGCAAATTTAAGCAAGGAGGTGAAAGACCTCTACAATAAAAGTTATAAAGCATTGGTGAGAGATATTGAAGAAGACACAAATAAATTGAAAGGTACCCTCTGTTCTTGGATTAGAAGATTGATATAATCAAAATGTTCATATAACCCAAAGCAACCTACAGATTCAATGCAATCCCTGTCAAAATATCAATAACATTTCTTACAGAAATAGAAAATATGATGTTAAAATTTGTATGGAACCATAGAAGACCCCAGATATCCAAAGCAATCTTAAACAAAAAGAACGAGTTGGAAGCATCACACAACCTGACTTCAAAATAAACTATAAATCTATAGTAAACAAAATAGCATGGTACTGCATAAAAACAAATTGACCGATGGAAGAGAATAGGGAGCCCAGAAATAAACCTATGCATTTACAGTGAACTGATTTTCTACAGAGATGCCAAAAATACACACTGGGGAAAAGACAGCCTCTTCAATAAATGGTGCTGGGAAAACTGGAGATCCACATGCAGAAACTGAAACTAGATCTCTATCTCCCACCGTCCACACAAATCAACTCAAGATGGATTAAAGATCTAAATTTAAGACCCGAAACTATGAAACTACTAGAAGAAAATTTAGAGGAAATGCTACATGAAGTGGGAGTGGGCAGTGCTTTTTTTTGAGAGAGACTACAAAGGCAACTAAAGGAAAAACAGAAAATCGAGACTACATCAAACTAAAAAGCTTCTACACAGCAAAAGACACAATCAAAAAATGGAAGGAATAACTGATGGAATGAAAGAAAGTGTTTGCAAACTACCCATCAGACAATGGGCTAATATCCAGAATATATAAGGAACTCATAAATCTCAACAGCAAAAAAACAAATAACCCAATTAAAAAATGGGCAAAGGACCCAAACAGACATGTCTGAAAAGAAGACATACAAATGGCCAATAGGCACAGGAAAAAATTTTCAACATCACTAATCATCAGGGAAATGCAAATTAAAACCACAATAAGATTTCTCATTCCAGTCAGAAGGCTTTTATCGAAAAGACAGAAAATAAATGCTGGAGAGGATGTGGAAGAAAGGAAAATCTACTACATTGTTGGTGGGAATGTAAATTGGTACAGCCATTGTGGAAAATATTATGTAGGTTCCCCAGAGCACTAAAAATTGAACGACCTTATGACCCAGTAATTTTACTACTGAGAATAAATCCAAAGGAAATGAAATCAATGTATTAAAGAGACACCTGCACTTTCATTTTCATTACAACAGTTCTCACAACAGTCAAGAGATGGAATCAACCTAAATATCCATCAATGGATGAATAACTAAAAAATCTGTGGTGTGTATGCACAATGGAATACTATTTAGCTAAAAAACAAAATGAAATTCTGTCATTTGCAGCAACATGGATGGGACATGGATAGGACTGGAGACCATTATTTCAAGTGAAGTAAGTCAAACACACACAAAAAAATACTAAATGATCTCACTCATATATGGAATCTAAAAAAGAAGTGGTTCTCACAGAGGTAGAGAGTAGAAAATGATTACCAGAGGCTGGGAGGAGAGGGGAATTGGTGGATTAATTGGTACAAAGTTATGTTATCTAACCTAAGTGAATCAATGTACAGTATATGCATATATTAAAACAACACACTGTACCCACAAATATGTTTAAATAAATATTAGAATTTAAAAAAGCGGAGAACCCATCACCATTTCCTCAACTGCCTTAAGGAGGAGTTTGTGGTTGAAATTGCTCCTACACAGAGAGGCTAGCTTCTAGCCAATGTGTCTAATTGTTGACCATAATATCCCAAAAGTCATTCTGTTTTTGTTGTTGTTGTGGTTGGCTGGCACAGGAATTGAACCCTGGACCTTGGTGTTAGCAGCATCACCCTGTAACCAAGTGAGCTAATGGGCCAGGCCCTTTCTAGGTCTCTGTCATTTTGAACTACAACCCAGGGCATTTTCCTGATCTTCATGTATGGCAGAGGAAGAGAAGGATATGGGATATCCTAATGCTGGTGTAGAAACAAGATTTTTTAAATTGCCTGTAAAGCTGATAATAACACTTCTCAGTTCAAACAAGGGGATCAAGTTGGTCTAATTTAGAAGAGCATACAAGGGTTGGGCTATCAATGAAGAATTGGGTATCCAGTTTTGACAATATCCAGCTAGTCCCCACATCCTCAGAGCTGTTTTCTTAGGAGAGGGTTTCAGGAAGGTTAGGATGCCCTTAATTCTACTTGGGTTTATTAACAGTCCTCTTTTTTAAATTAAATGTTCCAAGTATTTTACCTAGTCTGATAAAAATTGAAGGTTTTCTTTGAAAACTTTGTCTTTTTAAGGCCAATTGTCTCAGGAGATAAATGCTCTCATCCTTAGAGGCTGGTAGACTTAGAGAGGAAAGCAGGTCATCCACATATTGTATGAGTGGAATTTAAGGCTTTCTCTCTTCTGAGTGGTAGAAGAGGTGCTCTCCATGAGGTTGTCATTTCCTGATGAAGTTTTTTTATGCAGTGACTCAGAGATCTACTTCTAATAAGAGTGTTGCCTCTGTGGCTGTGGAGAACTTCAGGGTAACAGGGGTCTTTGTTATCAGTGCTTGTCTGTGTAGGAAGCTATGAGTGATAATGGCCGGAGATCCCTTTATCATTGAAAGTAGCAAAACAAAATGCAAAGCATCACAGGAGCTCCATCTGTGCACTGAACAAAGTGTTTCTTTTCTGGCAAAATTTCTTTCCTCCCTCCCTCCCTCCCTCCC